AAAAATTAAATTAATTTTTTATTTCATACTTTCTCAAATAGTCCAAATAATAATTATAATTATTTACAAATTAAGTTTTACTTTATTTTGCGCATACTTTCTCACTCTAACAATCAGATGATTATGCATTTGCATTTGCATTTGCGTACAAACTGTACATCTACACGCATGTGTAGCTATGCATGTGTGTGTACGTGTGTGTGTGTGTGTACGTGGGCTGTTCGATGGAGAATTATATATTACTGATGTATTTGCTGGAAATTTCATTATGCACACACACGCACGCACACACACATAATCGCATCGCAACGCAACGCAGCGGCTTTAGGCCTATTAAGCAAACATATTACCAATACACACACACACACGACCACACACAACTCTCCCCCCACCCCCCTTCATCCTAGTTGAAAGCAGAAACAAACACGCATACGCCACGTTGGCTGCCCGAAATTCGCTGCGACGCCCAAAAGCAGGCAGCACAAAGCACACACACGCACGCACTGTTTGTGTGTGTGTTTGTGTGTGTGTGTGAGTCTGTCTATGTACTTTGCCTAAATGTGCATGAGTACTTGTATGTGTGCGCACATTTTAGCGCATTTTTATATAATTTCCACTTTGTTGCCCCGCGCTTAATATTTATTTTGGTTGTTTTGTTCGCCTTTTTTCCGTTACTTTTTTCTTCTGTTTTTTTTCCGTTTTTTTTTCTTTTTTTTTTTTTTGTTTTTGTTGTTTTTTTTTTGCTGCTATACGCCACGACCTTGCCGCACCACACCCGCCAGCTGCCAGCATTAACTTTGACTGCGGTCCACAGCTGCAACTGCAGTTGCAGTTGCAGTTGCAGTTGCAGCGCAGCCACTGCAACTGCATTTTATAACATTTGCTTTGTTTTTCTCTTTTTTTTTTTTTTGTGTAGGCGCCGCGCATAAAAAACGCCCATAACTGCCGCGGCGACTGGTTGAGTGTTCGTTCGGTCAGATAATCGTCGCTGCATGCGTGTGGATGCAATTTTGGGGTTGTTTTGCAGACACACACACACACACACACACACACACACACACGGCACGCACACGCACACACACAGGCACACGCACACGCACAAAAAAGGTGCAACAAAATTTTAAAAAATAGGGGAATACAATTTCTACATTTCATTTGGCATATTTTTTAACTTTTTTTTTTTTTGTGGGCGCCAGCGCTGATGCCGTTTCCGACGTCGACGTCGACGTCGACTGCGCGAGTGTGAGAGCGCGCAATAGCACGCCCGCAGTCCCAGCTCGGCCGCGTCCTTTGCGTGCATCATGCATCCTGGCTGGCAATTGCATTCAATGTCATTGCGGAGCTGCTGCGCCTGGATATTGGGGCGTTTGGTATTGGGTTTTGCGGGGGGTGGTGGGAGGCGGGCGGGCGGTCATCTACGCTTCGCAATGGCTGCCTTTTTTTATACGTTACTTTTTGTTGTTTTTATTATTATTTTGTTTTTGTTTTTGTTTTTTTTTTTTGTTTTATGGCATTGCCCACTTTTTGTGGAGAGTTACTTTTGGTCGTTTTTTGGCATCAGCCTCTGCAACGGCAACGGCAACGGCAACGGCAGCGGCAGCGACGCATCCGGCGTTGCGTGCGTGCGTTGCGTTGCGTGCGTGCGTGCGCTCGTCCAACTCCTGCGCCAGAGCGAGCCGGCTGCAGTGCATCATTTGGCATTTTTTTTTTAGCATTCGCTTTGTTTTTTTTTTTTTTGGACTGCATTTTTTATTTAGTTTTTATTTATTTTTTGAATAATTTTTTTTTTTATTTTTTGCGTTATTTATTATATGGCTCGCGAGTTTTTGATAGGCCTACTCACGCGGCTCATTTTTGGGGGGGATTTGAAAAGCTTGCTTATGTGCGCGTGTGTCTCGGTATGTGTGTGTGTGTGTGTGTGTAGAAGAAGCAGCGGCCACCCCAACTGCCAGCCCAGCACCAACTGCGTATACTTAATTATTGCTGTTGCTTTGCTCTTGCACATTCAGTTGCCCCACTATCTGTGTGTGTGTGAGTGTATATGTGTGTATGTGTGTGCTCGTCTCTGTGTGTGTGTTCGCGTACGTGCGTATTGTCCTTAACTAAGTAAATATAATGAGTTGCACAGTGAAGCAAAAGCAAGCAGCATTATGTATTTAGAAATTATCGATAAATCGAATAAATTAATTATATACTGACTGACTGACTGACTAACTGATTGATTGATTGGTGATTTTTATTGAATCCTTTTTGGGTTCGAAATCGAGCAAGCCTGGGCGTCAGAATAGCATGCGGTAGGCAAATTTTGCCAGCATGTTTTTTGAAGCGAGTTAAATGGGATTTGATAAAATTCTCGCACAGGTGCGAACAATTTGCGGCATAAGCGATCGTTTTCGAATTTCGAAAAGTCGAGTCGGGAATTAAATGTGAAAAAAATATAATAGACAAATTTGATTTTGGAATTTTCTTTTAGCTTTATTAATTATTTTAATCTCAAAATTCGACCGATCGTCTTCAAACCAATTTGCAAAAAATGATTTCAAGAGAAAGCAGACGAATTGTTTATTGAATTTATTAGCGCTTGCTAATTAAATAGCTCATGATCATTTAAATAGCCGCATTGGAGGTCCTTTGGGCTACATACATTGCATAATAATTTCGGCAATTGTGCAACATGCGGCACACACGGCGCTTGCAACAAAAGGCGTTATGAGGCATGGTGCATGTAGGGGGGGAGGCGAGAACTTTAGCAAAAAATATAATACAAATTTACACCAAAAGTGTGGAACTTTTTTGCCATTTGAATAGCCGATGTCGACGTTGTTGTTGTTGTGATTATTATTGTTGTTGTTGTTGTTTCGGCTGCAACAAGACACGCACGCACGCACTGCAACTGCAACTACAACTGGTGTTTGTGCATTTGTGTGTGTGTGTGTGCCTATGCCTGTGTATGTATGCAAAAAAATTATAAAAAAAGAAAGAAAGAAAGAAAGAAGTGTGTGCATTTATTTTGTTGCAGTGGACAGCGACAGCGACAGCGACAGCACAGTCGGCAGCGCAGTCGACGTTAGTGTCCGCATAGGCCGAAAAAGGACGAGTGCGGCGCTCATTTGCCAGCATATATAGATATATACATAGGCATATGTATATCTCCAATATGTGCATGTGTGCATGTGTGTGTGTGTGTGTGTGTGTGTGTGTGTGTGTGTGTGGGTAGGGGTTATCGAAGGTGAGCGTGGCGGGGGGCGCAGTGGGGCCACGCAGGTATTGTGCGCACATATTTTTATAGGGTTTCCATTGCAATTTTTATTTAATTCTTTTTTTTTTATATATATATATTTTCGTTTTATTTTTTCCTTTTTTTTATGTTTTTTTTTTTTGTGCAGCATTTGGATTACGCTTTGTTGCCTCCTCGCTGTTTTGTGTTTCGTGTGTGTTGTGTGTGTGTCACGTATGTGTGCGTGTGTGTGTGTGTTTGTCTCTGTTTCGTTGAATTTTTGTTGCTTTTAGTTGTGTTTGTTGCTGGGTCGCCTTTTTTTTTCAGCGATTTCTTTTTGCAGCCTGTGTTTTGGGCAGATTTTTATTTTTCGGTGGCAGCGCCGGCCTCGGCTTTGAAACTGAGGCTGCGGAACTGGGGAGCTGGTGGGGGGAGGGGGGGGGGGCTCTCTGGAGGGGCAACCACCGCCGCGGCCGCCGCCGCTGCAGTTCAATGCAGCCACGGCCTTTGGAGCGCGAGAGCGAGAGAGGACGAGTGCTCGCCATGGTTGGGTCGGAGCAGAGCCTGAGAGCGTTAAGTAGGGGTAGTCAAAAGTGCACGCACACACATTAACGAGTCTGTGTGTGTGTGTGTGTGTGTGTGTGTGTGTGTGTGAGCTGGTGAAATGGACATGATGATGATGATGACGGCTCGCTGGTCATTATGAGGTTGCCTGCATATTATGTGCAAGCCCCGCAGCGACTCAGAACGGACTTTGCCGTTGGAGCATTGACAACTGCAAGTCGATACACACACACACACACACACGCACACACACACATGGACACACACACACATGCATGGACACACGCACATAAACGGCTAAAATCGCCGCGACGCCGGCATCAAATGCTGCCGCTGCGACGTCAACGTCAACGTCAACGTTAACGGCGAAGCCGAAGCCGACGACGCTGATCCCAAAAAAGTTTCTGGGCAACATTATTTTCGAATAGTTCAGATCCATTTAGATGAACATCAGTTAGCTATCGGATTGGACGTGCGTCGACGAACCAAGCAACCAACCAACAAACCAACAAACCAAACAACCAACAACCAACAACCCAAACAACCGAACAACCGAACAACCAACAGGCAAACAACCGAACAGCCAAACCCAGCTGGCCGCAGACAACCTTTGGAGGCGCCTCTGAGGACGAGTCCTATAAAAAGGATTCCTCAGCAGCGAGCGGCAGTCAAAGTCCTGCGACTGCAACTGCCATCAGGATGCCAACAACAACAACATTTTTATTGTGTTGCAAGTTGTTGAGTTGCCGCCACGCAAAACGCGCTTCGATTTTTTTGTTAAAGTGCTGAAAAACAATTGTTCTTCGACATTTTTTTTTTCTCAAATGTGAAAACTGCAAAAAGTTACAAATTTTCCCAGTGAAAACAGTTATTGAAAAAACGATAATAACAACAAAATATTGAAAATCAAATCAAACTGTTTAAATAGAAGTCAAGTGTCCCAAGTGTTTCGCTGTATTCCATGGACTATATGCCACGTCCTTTAAGTCTCATGAACTCAAAACCTGACCACAACAAATTCCGAAAAGTGTCAGCAACTTTTTAAGAGGATCAGGATCATCGCACGATTCCCTTAGGTAGGTAAAGGCCATTTCCCAGTTCCGTGTCTAAGTAAGTACTTATGCCGAACTTTTTATTATGCCATGTCCGTCCGTTAAACACAAAATTTCAAGAATTCAATGAAGAAAATAGTTCTGAAATGTTAATTTTTTCAACTTACAAGCTTGGGTTTCGTTTGAATTTATTTGGATTAGTCATCATCTATAAATGGAAATAGAATGAAAATAGAATCATAATTAGAAAATTAGAAAAAGTTCTATGACAGCTAAGGCCATAATTTATTGTATAACTTTTATGTGCGACACATTTGAAAAAAATATATAAATAATAAATAAATAATTAAAAAAAATTGAATTTGAACCGGCGACCTTGCGCTAGTTAGTTCGACAAGCAGACACATAAGCCAGGCAGGCTCATGAAGTCTTTCATCCTTAGTTAGATCTCCATTTTTTCCAACTTGGAGGACGATCCCCAATTCAGGTCTCAAATTCGAATAAAAACGAAACTTTTGTCAAAATTTAGAAAAAACAAAAAACATAAAAAAAAAAAAACTCTACAGAAGCTAAGGGCATCATTTATTTTTATTTGTGATTTATATGCGACACACGTTAAGAAAAGATAAAAGTTTAATAAATATAAATATTTATAAATTAATAAAAATTGTCGCTGGATTTGAACCGGCGATCTTGCGCTTGTTAGTTCGACAAGCAGACACCTAAGCCAGGCAGGCTTCAAAAATCTTTCAAAACAAACTTAGACCTTAGTTTTTTTTTGCCCCTCTCTCACTTTTCCAGCTTGCCAGTCAGCTGCCAGAAACTCTTTTTTTATATTTAGCCAATCAATAATATAATCTAATATAATCATAGTAATATTTGCAATATCAGGAACTGACAACAACAATATTTGCTATCATAATAAAAGTCGAAGCCAAAGCGGAAATTGCCGGCTCTCATAGAAATATGCGCCGTCTGGCGTCAAAAATTACAAAGTTATAAAAACAATAAGAAAAACGTTTACTTTATAATTATTCACACCCAACGCGATGCAAACAGCAAACAGAAAAAAAGAAGGAAAATTCACAAAAAAAAAAAAAACAAGAGAAAAGCGAATGCATAGAAAGCTACTAAAACGACGTTTAACACGCGGAAACGAAAACTTCCCTTCCCGTCCCGGCCCGGACACGGCATGTGCTGCGGTCGCCCAAAAGTAGCTACTGCCCCAAGCCACAGGCGGCCCCAGTACCAGTCCTCGCCCCAGCCCCAACCCGGGCGCCCGCTTTTGTCAATGCCGTAGCCAGAGGCGCGAGGCGCGAGGCGCGTGGCATGGCCGTGGACACAGCGTGGATGCAGCCGCACTCGAGCTCTAGCTGCAGCATAAAAGCAGGCAACAAAAAAAATGTAAACATAGACAGAGTCAACAAAGTTGGCCCGGCCAGGCCCGGATGGGAGCCCCTGTCCCAGCTCGTGACCTGCTCCTGTTACTGCCCCAGAGCCAATCCCTTGGCCAGGCCGAGCTCGTGGCACGTTTTCAAAAAGTCAATTGCTAAACAATCGAGTAGCCTACTCAGGGCCATCCACTCAATTTGATGGCCTAATTGTAGGATCTGTTTGGCCATTTTCCCATTTGGGATTTCCCCAATCGTGTTTTTACCTTGTAGTGCTTCCCCCAAAGAAGCCGCTCGCCCCTGGGCAAGATGCACATGGGGCTGCGTGCAACCGCTAATAAGCGCTATTTAATATCAATTTGCATTTGTGCTAAATCGCTGCTTATTAATTAAACGTAAATTGAATGAAATGAAAGAAACACCCGACGCGGTGTAAATGTGTTTTGTGTGTAACCTGTGCGTGTGTAGTCCCATGTCTCACTCCACCGCGGCCAGATCACATTTAATTATGTGGCCTTTGTGCGCGTAATTGGCAACAATCTAATTTAATTAGTGCAACTGCAATGCTGCAAGCACTCATTGCCACAGTTACAACAGTCCCCCCCCCCCCTCGTTGCCCTTTCCATTCCCAATTATCTGGCGAGCTTCACTCTGCTATATTCGCAACAAGACCTGCCTCTAATTATTTACAATAGTAAATAATACCAGTGCAGATAAACATAGCTCAAGATTCGATACCGATGCACTCTGTTGCACTAATTAGTGCAAGTGCAAAAATACTCGTTGCTTGTGGCAACAATTACGCTCGCTTGTAAGTTTCTTGGTCTGCCCCCTGGCTAAATCCAAATCCGAAATACTCCGCTTATTAGTTCAACTTTCTTTTACTGCACTCGCAGTCGTTGGCTACTCGTTGCTTTTGTGATCCTTATCATCTGCCGTCTGGCTAAATTCTATTCAAAAATACTCTGCTTCTAGGCTTAACTAAGTTTTACTTTAGCTACACTCGCAGTCGTTGGATATTCGTTACTTGTTACTCGCTACTCGCCACTCGTTTTGTCGCTACTCGCGACTTGTTACTCGCTACTAGCCTCTCGCTGCTTTCGTGGTCCTTATCATCTGCCGTACGGCTAGAAACTTTTATACCGTCTATAAGACATGTATTCCTTTTGCCTTCAGTTTCTTTATTTTTGTTCTCTTTTTATTTCTGTTCTTATACAAAAACTGGCTCTGGGATCTTAGTTTTCGACTCAAATACATTTTCAACCTACTGCAGCTTGCCCAAAGTGCACTTTTTAGACATTTCCCTTCTCAAAATCCATTCCATGCCCGCATCTAGAGAGAACTGAACAGCTACGAAGAGTACAGTACAAAACAGAGCAGAACGAGAACCAGAATCCGATTCAGAATCGAGTTGAGGGGCATCACAGAAATTCCAGCCAAAAATTGTTCGCAGTTAAATTGACTGCAATTTTTTGTTTTTAGGCAAGAGCGAAATTTACGGCCGGTTCAATGACCTACAAAAAACTGAAACCAAACAAAAGCCCCAACAAGAACCAGAACCAGAACCAAAAACCAAAACAACAACAATGAAAGCGTCGCGCAGATCAGCGAGATTCTTTCTGTTTTTGTTTCTATATGTTTGTACAATCTCTCTCGCATATACGCAGCCTATACGAGCGTGTGTGTGTGTGTGTGTGTGTGCGACGATCTTGCAAGCTGTTAGAGAGTGGCACAAAGGGAGAGCGCACCAATAAGAGAGAGCGGCAGTGCAAGGGGGACGGCAAAGAGACAACGCGTGCAGTTGCCAAAAAGCGCACAAAAATAAAAACCCGAAACTTGCACGCACACACACACACACACACACACACACACACACACTTGCAGAGACAGGCAAGCATGCATACAAAAATATCAAATAGCAAATTACTCATGCGCCAAACGACGAAGGCGACGATGACGAGAATGGAACTGCAAGGTTGGAGCGGGTAGGGGGAGGGGGAGGCGGGCAGCTTGTAAAATGCCAAAACAGGGCAGCGAGCGGCTGGAGGGGAGGCAGAGGGAGTTGATTGCATGACACTGACAACTGCGCGGCCAGCAGCAATCGGGGCAAAGGATCGCGACCAGCAGCTTAGAACAAGACGAGAAGAAGCAGCGAGAACAGATAGCAAGAGGCGAGTAATAAAAGGCGAGCAACGAGTTACATGTATGCACACGCATACACACGCATACACACACGCACATAGAAACGAACAGTGGAAGGGGCCAGGCATTGGGATCAGGCCAACATATGGCGCACAGACGAGTCAGGCCTGCCGAGGCGGCCATTAAAGTAATTACGCCGCACTTGAATCTTCCTATGGGGCCGGCCTCTGATTAATGCGAAATGCACTTTCGGCCATTTGCCTTGCTCTTATCCTGGCGATTATTAGAAATGTTTCAGTTTTTCAATGCGACCTTATAAAGACAAGAAATAATTGACTTTAAGCGGCAACGCCGACTCTTGCATACCCTGGCAGAAATATGGCATACGGGTTTGAATATGAGAGGAGAATTGAAAAGCTCGCCCTCACAAATTCAAAAAGCAATAAAATATTTAGAAATATTCGAGAATGATGACAAATGGGTGAGGGATATAATTAATATAATATATATAAAAGGAATATAAATAATATAACATATATAAAAGTGTACTATTCATCGAGGAGTCTTCTCTTTATGAATTCCCAATTAGGAACTATTCCGTAGTCAAATCGTAACTCGTCCGGCTTCAAATATCCGACTATAACTATATTCAATACAGATAATACAATAAATAGAGACATTTGATTTACAGTATAAATTTCAAGTATAAATACTAATTTTAAGCAGCGCGGCTCGTGAGGAATTTTAAGTATTTTTCCTATCAATAATAACAATAACAAATATTTCATTATATTTGAATTGCAAACGTCTTGTCTCGCTGCTCTTTAACTTGTTGGAAATCGCAAGCATGAAGCAACGAAAAACGTGAATAGAAATAGACTCTTATAATATACATAAATGTTAATCATGTACATATATGCATATATAATAGGGAGAGTGCTATATTGGGTATATACATATATATATATATTTTATTGAAATATTGTTATTCGCTTGCTTCGTTCCACATAGATGAAATAGGCTGCGCTTGATAATAATAATTATAATAATAAGTATGGTATATATGTAGATGATGCCGTATTAAATATACTTTATAGAGCCGGATATATTCCAGCGTCTGCTTGTGTATTTGCACAAGTTTTTAGCCATTTTTTTATTTGATAAAAATAAACAGAATAAATATTGCGTACCAGGAAAGACGAGGGCCCAAACAATGCATAATAATGCAGCGAACCTTGCATCCGGTTAGACTAGAATTTCGGGTATTAAATGACAACAACAACAACAACAACAGCAGCAACGGCAGGGGGGCAGAGGCAGCAGCAGCGGCAGTGACAGTGACAGCGGCAGTGACAGTGACAGTGATAGTGACAGAGAAGCCATTCTAATCTTGCAAGCCATATTGTTATACATATATACAAACGTAGAACAGTCTATGTACAAACTGACTGTTATACGTGCACGAATATATATACATATATAGATATGTATGTGTGCATTAGCTTACAATATTTATTTTCAATTTGTTCTTCTTTTGTTTTGTTTTGCGCAGTCAAACGCCTACGAAAAATGCGCAACTGCATAGGCGACAGCGGCGGTCGAAGGGGGGGAATGGGAATGTGAATGAGAACCAGAACAAGAACGCCACTTGTATGCGCACACACACACACACGCA